TGAAAAAAGAGAGAGCCATAGTTATTACATTTACATTTTATTTATTTCCGCCTGGACTCATGTGATTACTGTCATGAGAGTTAGTGAGGGTTTACACACATTACTAGCTAACATGATGTTTCTATTGTTTCCTGCAAATCTTTGATGCTTGGGAGCTTTTATTTCCGCAAGGGAAACTTTAAAGTGAAAAATCAGGATGTTCTTAGAAAGGGTTTGTTTTGTTTTGGGATGATGTCATAGAGAACACAAAAAAGAGGGGCCGGCGCCGTGGCTCACTTGGTTAATCCTCCGCCTGCGACGCCAGCATCCCAAATGGGCACTGGGTTCTAGTCCCGGTTGCCCCTCTTCCAGTCCAGCTCTCTGCTGATGCCTGGGAAGGCAGTGGAGGATGGCCCAAGTGCTTGGGTCCTGCACCTGCATGGGAGACCAGGAGGAAGCACCTGGCTCCTGGCTTCGGATCGGCGCAGCTCCGGCCGGCGGCCATCTGGGGAGTGAACCAGCGGAAGGAAGACCTTTCTCTCTGTCTCTCTCTCTCACTGTCTGTAACTCTACCTGTCAAATAAAAAAAAAAAAAAAAAGAAGAAGCAACTCTTTCTTACCTAAAGGGAGCCTCCTGAAAGAGCAGATGCATGCTTTCCCACGGTAGAGACAAAGCCACATGCAGAGCTGGGCCATGGACTACCTGGAGCAGGGGTGATGCTGGAACCCGAAGGTAGGGGGATTATACCACTTGTCCCTGCTCTGTGTTCCCACTTGGTAGCATCTTTGCTTTTTGAAGTCTCGTAGTCTCCTACTTTGTTCTCCGAGAGGACTTTCCTGTGTCACCCAGGCTGAGTTAACTCTTCTTCCTTGTGTTCCCATAGCATGCATTGATCTCTTCCTCTTTTGCAGGTGTTCTGTTATCATGTCAGTCTCATGCTTGTCTCCCCAGCTAGGCTCTGGGCTTCTGCTGGGCATAGATGAGTCATCTTCCTGGTCCAGGGACTTCCTGATGTCTACCATATAGGAACTACCCATAAAATGCTTTTGGGCAATGACTGGCTACACGAGCGGGAAGGTGAGCCAAGTAGAGTAGGAGTGGTGGTAACTGGAGGGCTTGCAGGAACAGAGTCCAAGTGACTAGGGATATATTCTGGTTAAAACTTTACCTTGAAGGGTGATATCTTTGAATTGTGAGGAGAGGGAAAACATGTGTAGTCCAAATGTGCTTGCACCTGTCAAAGAAAATGTCTGAAAGCATTTTGCAAACACCTGAAATGTAAGGACTTTAATTGTAAGTGTCAGATGTGACCCTAGAACAGAATGAGGGGGGTGGGAAGGAATGCCAGGCATCAGAGCCATCACCCAGCAGTTCTGTCACGCAAGTGGTTTCAACGCTGCCCTCATGTGATTGTCTCAGGCGACATAACTAATGTCTTGTCTCCTTGGGAGCTGTATCCTTTCAAATGACCTGGGCAAGGAATAGAGATAGTCCTCAGGCCAATGCTTTGCTGCAGGACAGCCATGCCATCAATTCCTTGGGTGTTTAGTGTTACTTTTACTTTAAATGGCCTCTTTAAGTACTAGTGATAAAGCGTGGGTCAGAAACAAGAAATTTAGTGTGGTGAACTTTAGAAGGTAGTTTGACCTTGCCTCCTTGAAAGAATTCTCCTGGCAGCCCAGAGTGATGAATGCTGTCTTCCAGAGCATGTGAGCTTCAGAAAGATCTATGTGTGAAGGCCTGGAGTGAAGAAAGTGAATGCAGATGGCCCACAGGTTTCCTCCCCTGCTTTGGAGAGATTTAACTGGATGTATTGAATTTGCAGAAGGGTCTTGCAATACCTACAGCTGTACCTGCTGGATGGGGGTTAGGAGGAAAACTATTCTGTTTTCCAGAAGGACTGAGGGTTAGTACTATCCAGGCAGACTTAGGTGGATGTTAGGAAGAACTGTGGGAATTGTGTGCATAATTCTGGAGTTGCCTCCCTGAATGGGCACCTCCATCAGGGCTGGATTATGGGATACTGGCTTGTGGGTTACCAAAGACTAGGTCAAATCCATCTTTCAAAGCTGCTCCAAGGGAGTGTTGGCTGGGCCATTCTTATGGTTCTACAATGCTGAGAAATTTTTCTTCCCTACATTGGTAAAGCAGGACATTGTCCTTGAGGTTCTGATTTCTGAGAGAGCATAAGATTATTGAGAGAGGTGTTTGCTGAGGCTTCATGTCCTGATGCTTCCATCTGAATGGATTTCTAAATCCTTTCTTTGATCACCATGAGTACAGAAGGCTCAGGCTTTGCAGGACTCCACTGAGGGTGTGCCAGGCAAGGGCAGCAGGGTTATGGAAGCTGAAGTTGCTTCTTGATTTTCCTCTCTGCCTGTGAGTTTCCCACTGCAGGTATTTGAAGAAGGTAAGGCAGTGCAAGAGCCTGGGGTACCAGGGCAGGAGATGGAGGTGGGGGCCCGAGTGCTGACAGAGTTTCCTTTGTCCCGAGAGAGTTGTGTTAATATCCATCCACAATTTCAACCTGGATTGGATTGGATTGTTTTGCTAAGTGGCTCCCCATACAACTCACTTGAAAATGAGAATTTACAAAATAAAGTAAATTATGTTTTCTTTATTGCTGAGCAAGTATGTTTTATTCATTTCCATATTCTTATAGTTACTTCTACTGAGAAATACATGGCAATGATTTTCAGAGATTAATTTTTTTAAAGATTTATTTATTTGACAGACAGAGTTACAGAGAGAGGTAGAGACACACAGAGAGGTCTTCTATCCACTGGTTCATTCCCCAGATAGCCACAATGGCCGGAACTGAGCCGATCCAAAGCCAGGAGCCAGGAGCTTCTTCTGGGTCTCCCATGTGGGTGCAGGGGCCCAAGGTCTTGGGCCATTTTCTACTGCTTTCCCAGGCCATAGCAGAGAGCTGGATTGGAAGTGGAGCAACTGGGACGCGAACTAGAGCCCATATAGCATGCCAGTGCTGCAGGCTGGGGCTTTAACCTGCTGCACTACAGTGCTGGCCCTAAATTCTTTTATCTAAATCCCTCCCCAACCATAGTTGAGCCTTCCTGCATGTGTGCCTGTGTATCTTGGTGGGTTGTTAGTGTGACAAAAGAGTATGGCCATAGTGACCCCTCACTCCTAGGAAGGTCTGGGGTAGCCAGAGTCCTTGAGCGATACAAAGTCTTACATTTTTCCTTGCATGCTTCACAGATACCAGCAGTGTTTATGCATGTCATGCGAACACATTTGGGAATCACTCCTACATACCCTGTATTTTTTATAGCATTTTTGACTATATGAAATTAACCAATTTGTTTACTTGTTTATTGTGCCCTCCCTCAATGAATGTAACCGACTTTATCTATTTTGTTCATCCTGGTACATCTTGCAGTGTTTAAAATAGCACCTGCCACACACAAGGCGCTCAGTGTTGATTTGTTAAAACAATGAGCACTTTATTGTCAAGAGAGTAATGGTAGGGATAGGAAGCTGCATCTGGCTTTGAGGTAAAATTCAAGCACTGAACTGGTAAAATAATCCCGCAGTTGTTGGAGAGACACCTTGTACTTTAATTATTTTTTTGGATTTAAAGTGCTACTATAAACCTAGAAATAGAGTAAGTGCAGTAATGGAACATCATTCTCCAAAAGAAAAAACTCACAGCTAAATCAGCACATTGGAATATAAGCTAAGTCTGAGGCTGTGGGAGACTGCCAAATTCAGTATTTGTAAATTCATAATATTTATTTCATATTTAATACTAAAAGCAAACTGCAGAAATTTACTGAGATAATAACTTCCATTCTTTGGGGAATATAGTGAAACCGAGCTATAAAAATAAGCCTCCCTTTTTATTGTGAGTTTCTGCTTCCCATAAATTCCACCTCGCAGTCAGCAGGTAGGTAAATGAAGGTCAAACCTCACAGTCTAAAGGACCCATTCCTACTACAGCTATAGTTTTGACAGCAAAACTATAGCGATTCTCTTCTCCAGGAAACAGCACAGACGTGGGAAAGGAGTTCTCCTTCTATGTAAGAGGGAAAGCTATGCTAATAATAACATAATTAGGATTTTATCAGGGAAATTTTATCTTCATGTGTTTCAACCTCAAAATGAGCCAAAAAATGTTTGCCTCCAGGTGTGTTTTTGGCTTATCTGCAACTATTTTTTTTTTTTTTTTTTTTTTTTTTTTTTTGGGCTTTTTATACCACTTTATTCCAACCTGAGCACCTCAATATAAAACTAAACACTGGTGAACTGTTTTCTTTACTAATTATGAATTACTGTAATGTACAAGTTCTGCTAGCAGTTCAACACTTAAATAGATTAAATCATCTGACACATGGTAGATTTCATATAATGAAAATACCTAAAATAATTAGTGCAATATACTGAACCGATCAAAATAAAATGAACTTTGGAAAACAAGGCTGTAAGATTGTTACTAACATTTTAAGGAAGTTTCTTTTTTTTTTTTTTTTTTTTAACAGGCAGAGTGGACAGTGAGACAGACAGACAGACAGAAAGGTCTTCCTTTTGCCGTTGGTTCACCCTCCAATGGCCGCCGTGGCTGGCGCACCACACTGATCCGATGGCAGGAGCCAGGAGCCAGGTGCTTTTCCTGGTCTCCCATGGGGTGCAGGGCCCAAGCACCTGGGCCATCCTCCACTGCACTCCCTGGCCATAGCAGAGAGCTGGCCTGGAAGAGGGGCAACTGGGACAGAATCCGGCGCCCCAACCGGGACTAGAACCCGGTGTGCCGGCGCCGCTAGGTGGAGGATTAGCCTAGTGAGCCACGGCGCCGGCCTGCAATTTTTTTTTATGGCTCCCCTGTTTCTTAACTCGTACAACACACACTTGGGCAGACAGCAGAACTTTTCATTTAAGAAGCAGACACCAGCTTGATTGCCAAATTGGTAAGGAGTATTCTTAGGATGGTCTCTGCAACAAGACTCCAGATAGAATCGTTCCCTGGGGAAGCTGGTGGGGGGGGGGGGCAGATTCGGGGTAAGGTGCTGCTCAGGTCACAGGTCCTTCTGTTCTTCGACCAGGCGCTGTGTGAGGGGAATGCATTCTACTGAAACACTGTTCTTTTCATTTTTCAATATTGATTTCTTGAAAATAGGTTTCGGTATTCTGCGGGCATTGCCAACTGAGAAGGGGCATTAGCAAAGAAGAATCTTAAGGGATGTCTACATGAGGTCTTTACAATTGGTTTCAAAGTGTAACATTGAGTCCATCAGCCTCTCTGCAGATGAGGGAATCAAATAACCCACTTTGTTTCACCGAAGAGCATAAATTTTGCCTGAATCGACCCAATTGGTTTTACACCAGCTTTTGCCTACATTGCAAATCAGGGAGAGAGGAAAAGAAATTGAGCAATTAGATAGTGTAGCAGGTTTATCTTAAGAAACTTCACTTGAATTTTGTTCTGATTGGAAGTGAAAAAACACAAACAAACTAACAACAATGACAACAAAAACCCCCAGATCTTCCAGGCTGCTTAAGCTGCTCAGGCCAGAGGCTGGTGTGGGTGACAGCAAAGCTTGGTATGTCCTTGTGACCACAGTTTGAAGCTGCCCTTCACAGTGAACCTCCTTCTTAGGCAGGAGGTCTCCTGAGGGTCCTGCTAATAAGCTATCCTCACTTCTGCCACTGTGCCTTTGCCCACCCTGCACCTGCCTCCTTTTGTTCTCTGCAGCACACAGATCACAGGGGCCTTGTGAAGGTGAAACTGGATCATCAGCCTCTTGCTTAGAGAAGATGTCAGCCTTTGGTTAAACTGGGCATACTTTAAAGAATTTTCTTTTGCTCAGTGCAAGAAATTTTTAGTTAGAAGAACTAAAGCCTGTTTAAGGATAACATGGCGTACTGAATACAATTCTGGGTGCATGGCAGTGTGGTGAGGGAAGGGGCATGGGATTCTATATTAAACAAATATCCCAGAAGAGCCTTATGTTTGGCGAGCTTATCAAACATAGCAGGCTGGGAGCTGGTTGGGCTGGGAAAGCACAGGTGCGAGTCCAGTGCTTTGATGTGCAATCTTTAAAACTACTCAATACTGTTCTTGGGCAATGGCTCCCTCCAATCGTATATACAGCGCCATCTAAATGAATTCTTAGGGTTTGATGAGTGCAAAGTCTAGAAGCACCTTGGAGCTAGGTATTTAATAAAGCATTTGAGGAAAAATCACAATGACAGGCTAGGTCATCTAACTCATGGTCAGAGTAGTCACACAAGATTGTGTGCCCTAAAGAACTCTACAACTAAGTTTGATGCTCTGCTGCCATCATCTTGATATTCTGGATGATTTTTATCTTTGAACTTATGTTTTTTAAATGCAGTCTGGTGAGACAGGGGAGCATGTACAGGAGTGGAGGAGAGATGTATAATATGCACTGCACCTTCTCTAGGCCACTCCATTTGCAGAATTATGGTGGCCCCAGGAAGTGTGGGAGTTTGTGAGACTCAAGGTAAGTATAAAAGTGTGAATGAAGGGTTGTGACTGAGAGCCCGGAAAGGCCATACTTTTCATTTGAGCCAGAATTTGCTTCCAACTTAGAAAGGGAATTGCATTTAAGAAATGTACATGAGGAAGAAGCCCTTTCATATCTTTTCTTGCTGGCGTTACCCCTCTGTGTTAGCCAACCACTTACACTGAGGACAGTGACCTAGAGGGAAAGGGATCGATAGGCCAACTCATGGTTCCTTTTTCTTTTGGCCCTTCCTTACCCATCAGTAAGTTGAAGGTGGAGTGGCTTGGTAGAGTATGTGCACAGCCAAGAGGTGCAAAGAGACAGCTGTTCTAGTCTTGGGCAGCACCTCCACTGCTCTGATAAGGCAAAATATCCCTGTGGGTATGAGCTATGAAATAGCAATTGTAAAATTTCTGTGATTCTGCCTTAGTTAAATTGCTCTTTTGTTTGCATTTTTTTTTTTTAAATTTTTAGCAGGCAGAGTGGATAGTGACAGAGAGAGAGAGACAGAGAGAAAGGTCTTCCTTCACCCTCCAATGGCCGCCGCAGCTGGCGGATGGCAGGAGCCAGGTACTTATCCTGGTCTCCCATGGGGTGCAGGGCCCAAGGACTTGGGCCATCCTCCACTGCACTCCCTGGCCATAGCAGAGAGCTGGCCTGGAAGAGGGGCAACCGGGACAGAATTCGGTGCCCCGACCGGGACTAGAACCCAGGGTGCCGGCGCCGCAAGGCGGAGGATTAGCCTAGTGAGCCACGGCGCCGGCCTTCTTTTGTTTGCATTTAAAACTGGCATTCTAAGAATGAATATGGGAGAATAGTAATTTATCCTATTAATTTTAAATTTCAACGTTGCTTTACTTAGAATAATATTAAATTGCTGAAAAGAAAAAAATAACACCATGACAACTTGGGAGGTGGAGAGAGACACAGACAGACTGTGGAAGAGTAAAGCTTTATATTTTAGTGTGTGTAACAGCAGTTTAGTCCTGCTTTTTGAACAAAGAGCTTGCATTTTCATTTTGCACTGGGTTCCACAAATTATGTCACTGGTCCCGACTCTCACTCCTGCGGCATTTGCATGCTTGAGCTTCTAACACAGTGTCTGTTGCCTTCTGGGAGTACATGACCAAGGGCAGAAGACAGAGGTAGGAGCACCTCTTCTAGCATAAGGATGTCACTCTGGCTTCTATAAGAAAAATCTCCAGCGGCAGTACCTTGGTCTCCATGGAAACTGGTAACGTATGAGAAATGGAAAGTTAGAACACCTTTCCATTGTTTTTCCCTCTAGGAAGGATTCTCCTGTGACTAAAATATGCTAATACGTACAGCCTGCCCCTGGCTTCTGCTAGAGGGGGGGTGATGTGGTTCCCTCCCTCAAAGCAGAGGCTCGGTGAAGTATGGGAATTAGCCTCTCATCTCACTCTTTCGGTCCTGAACAAGACAAGAGACAAGCAGAAGAATTCACTGTATTCCACTGAGTAGGAACTTAGCGCAGCTTTAAAGACACATAGAATTGAGGATCTTTGTTTCCTCGATTTCTGTTAGGTGGTAGTGTTTTATTCGCCTGGAGCTAAAAGCCAAGATCTTTTGGCAGAGTTAGGGTGTAGTTTGGCCTGCATCAAACTTGGAGGACTGCAGTCTCTGGCCACACCGAGGATCCCATGGGGAGAAGGGAGCCGATTTCAATGTTCCCACTCACTGGAGCATCGGAGGTGTTTTCTATAGCAAGCAAGGAGGCAGGACAGGGTGACAGAGCCGCAGATTTCTACTGGGCCAGCCCAGAAGTACTTGTCTGCCTCTGTGGTTGTAACTGAGAGACTTTTCATGTTGTCTTTTGTTGAGAACCCAGGGTGGATGCTGTATTCTGGCCCCATCTCCATCCAGAGAAATCCTGAAAGAATGCCTCTTCATGGATCCTACCAGGTAGGCCTCAAATTTTCAGTAGCAGGAGAGAAGGGCTCTCAAAATCATCCATTTGAATTTATTTTATTTTTAATGTTTAATATTTTGATCTGAGTTTCTGGTTTTTAAAAAAGCATTATTTTGGGGTCTGGTGCTGTGGTGTAGAAGGAGAGTTAAGCTTCTGCCTGCAGTGCCGACATCCCATACAGGCAGTGCTTGAGTCCTGGCTGCTCCACTTCTGATCCAGCTCCCTGCTGATGTGCCTGGGAATGCAGCAGAGCATGGCCCAAGTACTTGGGCTCCTACACCCACATGAGACCTAGAAGAAGCTCCTGCCTCCTGGCTTTGGCCTGGCCAAGCCCTGGCCATTATGATCATTTAGGGGAGTGAACCAGTGGATGGAAGATCCCTTCCTCTCTTCCTCCTTCCCCACCTTGTCTCTCTGTATTTTTGCCTTTTACAAAGCTCTATTTTCATGTTTCAAAGGATGTATTTATTTATTTTGAAACTCAGAGTTACAGAGAGGAAGAGATAGAGAATCTTCCATGTGCTGGTTTACTCCCTAGGGGCTAGGCCAAGTTTAAGCCAAGAACCAGGAGCCAGGAGCTTCATCTGGGTCTTCCATGTGGGTGACAGGGCCCAAATACTTAGGTCATCTGGTGCTGCTTTACCCAGGCTGTTAGAAGAGAACTAGATCAGAAGTGGAGTAGCCAGGACAAGAGCTGGCACCCACATGGGATGCCAGTGTTGCAGGCAGTGATTTTACCTGCTACCTGCTGTGCCACAACATGCTCCCTGCCCCCTGCCCCAGTATTTTCATTTTATTTGGAAGGGAGGGAGCAAGGGAAAGAGAGAGATCTTCAATCTGCTGTTTCATTCTCCAAATGCCTGTAACAGCTGGCACTGGGCCATGCCAACGTCAGGAGCCTGAAACTCCACTGGGTCTCCCACATGGGTGGCAGGGTCTTAAGTACATGAGCCATTACCTGCTGCTTCCCCTCCCCCACCTTGGTGCAGATGAGCCGGAAGTTGGATCAGAAGCACGGGTGGGACTCAACCCCAGGCACTCAGATACAGGATGTGGGCATCCTCAGCAGGTACTTAAGCCGCTTCACCAAAGACCCACCTCCCTGGGGATTTCTTAAACTGCAGGATCCCTGTCGCTGACACTAATACCTCATTCTCCCTCATCCCAAACTCCCTTTAGGGTGAAAATATACAAATGAACCTCAGGTGGGACATTCTATGAACTTTGTTCTGTGCTCACAGCATAAACAATAATCATGCAGCAAAGCAAAGCAAACAAATCCCTGCCTCCTCCAGTTCTCCAAACAACACTGCTTTGCCACCACCTGGGGAGCCATCCCAGCCTGCGCTTCAACCAGATTGTCCACAAACTCACCTGCGTCACTTCCTTGATGAGAAAGGAAACAAGCACACTAATGGTGCATTTCTGCAGAGTGGAGATAAGTGTCCTAATTAGGAAGGCTGGGAAAATAAGTGATTGAGGCATTATTTGATCTGATTTGGATGCCACTACAGTCTAAAGCCTGATCACATTAAATAAGGCAGAGCAGAGTAAAACGGCAGGTTAGGCAGAACGAAAGAAATGGAAAAAGTCTGTGGGGAAGATAATTATTATTTAGTATTATTATTATTTTTAGAGAAGTAACCAATAAATAGCTTGTTAGAAATAGGCCAAAGCAAAAATACTTACATATTCATTCCCATCTAACTTCTGGGTCCAGCTTGCTGTCCAGAAAGCTTGAATTCTATGGTCCACTACAATTAGAGCATTAGCACAAACAACAATAAAGTTTGCAAATAATGACTTTCAACATGACAGGATGGGGGCTGGCACTGTGGCACAGTGGGTTAAAGTCCCAGCCTGCAGCACTTGCATATTATATGGACCCTGGTCAAGTCCCAGCTGCTCCACTTCTGATCCAGCTCTCTGCTATGGCCTGGGAAAGTAGTAGAAGATGGTCCAAGTTCTTGGGCCCCTGCACCCACGTGGGAGACCTAGAAGAAGCTCCTGGCTTCAGATCAGCTCAGCTCTGGCCATTGCAGCCATCCGGGGAGTAAACCAGTAGAATGGAAGACCTCTCTCCCTCTGGCTCTACCTCTCTCTGTAACTCTACCTTTCAAATAAATAAAAATAAATCTTTAAAAATGACAGGATTGTCTAGAGGTGCTGGAAAGTCAGGTGAATTTCTTCCCAGGGATCTTTAAAATGTTCTTCAAACCCCTGCTGAAAAATCATCTATGTAGGGAGAATTATAGGCTTTCCTGTATCCCACCATGCATCTCTCTATGACCCTTATATCCCAACAGTTTAAAAAAATCTTTTAAAGTAGTGATACTTTCTGGGACGGGCATTGTGGTGTAGTGGGTAAAGTTGCTGTCTGCAATGCCAGTATCCAATGTGGGTGCTGGGTTCTGGTTCACATCCCAGCTTCTCCACTTCCAATCCAGTCCCTGATAATGGCCTGGGAAAAGCAGTGGAAGATAACCCAGTGCTTGGGCCCCTGCACCTATGTGGGAGAATGTGGATGTAACTCCTGGCTTTCTCCCAGCCAAGCCCCAGCTGTTGAGGCCATCTGGGAGTGAACCTCTGGATGGAGGACTTCTCTCTGACTCTCCCTCTCTCTGTAAATTTCAGATAAATAAATAAGCCTTTAAAAAAAAAAAGTGATACTTTCTGCCCTTGCTTCTTCTTTTTTTTTGACAGAGTGGACAGTGAGAGAGAGAGAGAAAGGTCTTCCTTCCATTGGTTCACTCCCCAAATGGCCGCTACAGCCAGCGCGCTGCGCCAATCCAAAGCCAGGAGCCAGGTGCTTCTTCCTGGTCTCCCATGCAGGTGCAGGGCCCAAGCACTTAGGCCATCCTCCACTGCACTCCCAGGCCATAGCAGAGAGCTGGCCTGGAAGAGGGGCAACCGGGACAGAATCCGGCGCCCCGACTGGGACTAGACCCCGGTGTGCCAGCGCCAGAGGCAGAGGATTAGCCTAGTGAGCCACTGCGCCGGCCTGCCCTTGCTTCTTTAATCAGCCTGGCATAGAGCAGTAGAAAGTGCATGAGGGCTGAGAAATCAAGAGTCCACTTCTCTTGTATGTGTGCTGTAGCTCTCAGATTCTTCAATTATAAAGCAGAAGTGATAGTCATAACTATATATTGATAAAATTTTTTAAAATATTTATTTTATTTATTTGAAAGAGCTACAGAGAGAGGTAGAGACAGAATGAGAGGTCTTGCATCCGCTGGTTCACTCCGCAGATGGCCACAGCAGCCGGAGCTGTGCCGATCTGAAGAAAGGAGCCAGGAGCTTCTTCTGGGTCTCCCACGCAGGTTCAGGGGCCTAAGGACTTGGGCCATCTTCTACTGCTTTCCCAGGCTATAGCAGAGAGCTGGATCAGAAGAAGAGCAGCCGGGACTAGAACTGGCACCCCTATGGGATGCTGGCGCTTCAGGCCAGGGCTTTAACCTGCTGCACCACAGTGCTGGCTCCATAAGATTTAAATGAAGCAATATATGAAAGAACCTCAAAAAGTTCATGGAAAATGAAAAGTTTATTTTATTGCAAAACATTTAAAAACGCATATTAGGCATTTTCAAAAAGTTCATGAAAAAATGAATGCTATGAAAAAAACATGCATGGATTTCAAAATGTTTTTGCACCAAAACAAACATCTTTGAATTCCATTGTCAATCAGCTCTCTTGAAGTATTCTCATATGTGAGGTACAGGATGTTCATTATTCAAGAATCAAAGTCTAAGACAATTATCCAGACAATAATCACCTGCACTATTGTCATAGTTTATTTATTTATTTATTTTTGACAGGCAGAGTGGACAGTGAGAGAGAGAGAGACAGAGAGAAAGGTCTTCCTTTTGCCATTGGTTCACCCTCCAATTGCTGCCGCGAGTGGCGCGCTGTGGCCAGCACATTGTGTTGATCCGAAGCCAGGAGCCAGGTGCTTCTCCTGATCTCCCATGCGGGTGCAGGGCCCAAGGACTTGGGCCATCCTCCACTGTACTCCCGGGCCATAGCAGAGAGCTGGCCTGGAAGAGGGGCAACCGGGACAGTCGGCGCCCCGACTGGGACTAGAGCCCGGTGTGCCGGCGCTGCAAGGCGGAGGATTAGCCTAGTGAGCCATGGCGCCGGCTCGTCATAGTTTATATTCCTAGAACTTGGAAATACGTTACCTGGCATGGCAAGAGGGACTTTGCAGAAATGAGGGAGTTAAGGGCCCTGATGTGGGAAAGTGAGCCTGATTATGGAGCTAAATCTTTCAGTGTAGAAGACGAAGGCAGGAGCCTAGAGCTGTGGTATAGTAGATAAAGCCACTGCCTGCAGCACCGGTACCCCATGTAGGCACTGGTTTGAGTCTTGGCTGCTCCACTTCCAATCCAGCTCCCTGCTAATGCACCTGGGAAAGCAGCAGAAGATGGCGCAAGTTCCTGGGTCCCTGTATCTGCATGGGAGACTCAGAAGAAGCTGCTGGCTTTGGACTGGCCCAGCTATGCCTCTCTGTAACTCTGCTTTTCAAATAAATAAATAAATCTTAAAAATAAAAAGAGGGAGGCAGAAGGGAGGGCCAGAATGGTGAGCTCTGAGTCCTCTCCCCTCGCTGCTGTCTGCAGGTGCAGGAAGCACAGCAAGAGCCCAAGAACGTGAATGCTTCTAGAGACCAGCAAAGGGAAAGGAGTTCAGCTCCATCTATGTGCTAATGTTAGCCTAGTGAGGCCCAGCTTACAAACTTAACTTCCAGAACCCTACTATGTGCTGCTTCAAGACACTCAACTTTTGGTAGTTTGTTAATAGAAAATGAATAGACTCAACTTAAGTACTATTCCCCGTCCAACATCCAGCAGGAAATTTTTAAATCCTTGGAAAATGTATGTTACTGTTTTGCTCAAAACCCTCCAATTGCATTTTTTTCCATCAAAGTTCTTCAGTCTGTCCATGGCCTTCAGATCTCCCTGACCACAGCTGTACAAATCTTCCCTCTCCGGCCCCA